TGCGAAGCCATGTACTGGTGTCTAAATCCTGCTGGGTGTGAATGAGAACATTAACTGCCCAGAGCTTGTTCCAAATCTTCCCTTCTCCAGGTTGGCCCTGAGTTCATGATCCTCCTCCCTGAGCCTTGGACAGCCTGGGGTTACAGGCTTGTGCCACCACACCTAGATTTCCAGAAGTGCGTGGTATCTCACCTTAATGTCTTCCCTCTCCCCATGCACATTTTCTAGAGGGAACGCTCTTTAACCTCACCAACATTCAAAGGCTAGTGTCTTCTGCCTGGAACAGTACTTAATCCAGTAAGTAGCCAATATGGAAAACTGGATGCTTCATGTGGTAAACACTCAATAAATGTTGACTGATTTAATATGACAGAATATGCTGACTCAGTGGGCTTTCTCCCTGATTGTGTGAGCAATGACCTGATAGAGGAGTCTGGCCCGCCTGGCCCGAGCCTCTTGCCTAAGAGACTAAGCATCTAGCTGCTCTTAACATGTAGTCTCATTGAAGTCAATAAACAGCTTCCAGTTTCAGCTTTTCAATTAAAACCTGGGGGTACAAATGTGCAGGCGAGCAGGGTGGTGGTGCTACACTGCCTTTAATCCCAACTTTTGGGAGGCAGAGGCAGGTGGATCTCTGAGTTGGAGGTCAGTCTGATCTACAGAGTGAGTTCCAGGACAGCCCATCCAGAGCTACACAACACAGAGAAACCCTGCCTCAGAAAAAAAGAAAGATAAATAAATAAACAAACACAGATGCGTATATCTGTAAATGCAAAAGGTCAACAGCATTCCAGCCCATTAGTGGACAGTACAATAGCTTCTTCACCCACTCTAGGGATCTGTCTCCGGATTCTGAATGAACCTCCGGGACCTCATTTTCACGTGCATAAAACGATGTCCCCTGAGAAGACTGTAGCTCTAAACTTACCTTCCACAGTTGCTCAGATTTTGCCTCTAACTGTTATGAAATTTTTATCAAACACTTGAAAGGAGAAAATACACCTCTCATGTCAGTTAGGATTCTTCCCATTGGACTTAGGATAGGCCAGTAAACCTACCAATGGGAGATCTGGGACCAAGCCAGCAGGGAAGCTGCACAGAGCCTATGGGCAATAGTCCAGATGCCAACGGGAGCCAGGAAGTGGAAGGCTAGGTGGAAACTAGGAAGCTCTCCCTGTCTCTCAATTCCCCCTTCTCTCTCCCTAAACCAGCTCCTGCTTCCTACTTGCACACATTGGAAAACATGGCCAGCAACAGGATCCAAGTATCCAGACACCTGAAGAAACACAGGCTTTCTCTTTTGACTTCATTCCAGAGTCTTGGGAAGCGCTCGTTACTCCAGCTGGCCCATCTTGGCCCAGCAGCTTGCCCTTGGTTTAGATTGTGTGCTGATGACTGCCCCTCCCGGTGGAGTGATCGTCAGAGAAGACAGCACCACTGTTCAGGGACACAACCCAACCCAAGGCTGCCTCAGCTCTCTCCCACAGTTCCCAGGGAGGTTAGGCTCCTCGTCATCATGCACTAGTCCTTCCTCTCGAAGAAGTCGACAGTGAAGCTTAAATACCTGACTAACATCCCCCCAGATGTCACAGGCAGCTTCCAAGTTTGTGAAGGTTGTAGTGTTTTTGCTTGGTTGTGTTTAATCCTTTCGGTCTCTAGTTTCAAGGCTCTCATGAACCACAAAGTATCCGGAATGAGTCATAAAACTACCTAGAGCAAAAAAGAAAACATTTCCAGTGATCTTCAATTAGCGTATTTTAAATAAGCCTTCTTTCCTTCAGTTCGAACACTAATAAGGGAGCAGGGCAAGGCGGCAGCATGGTCGTCCATCCTGGTCTCTACACCTCAGAAAATGCACAGCAGCTCCCCGGCCTTTCTTTTCCTGAGAGGCTTTGATCTGAAGGGAAGGTTGAGTCAGCAACTGAGATGGGAAGACACAGAAGCAGGCTTGGTTTTATTTTCTTGCAAACTTTGCTCAGAGATGTTCAGGGAAGGGAAGAGACTCGGTTACTTGGGTGAGTAGGAGACAGACAGTAGAAAGAATCAGAAATCTGGACTGCAAACTAAAGCGCTTGCCTTGGAGAAGAATGAGGAAATGTGGTGTTCTGGAGGACGCTAAGAGAACAGACAAGTCCATCTTCTCGTCTGCTTCAGGAATGGACAGCAAAAACTCTCCCTTCTCCTCTTGAGCCTCCTGCAAACCTCCCACTTGGAGTCATTTTCCAGAGTGATCCTTAGCCCCTGATTCTACCTCTTTCTCTGATGCTGAGCAAGACATAAAGTCCACCTTCATCAACTCGATGAGATTTATAATCAGCTAGCTTTGGCAAAGACCCAGACTGGATGTAACCTCCAAGGAGAACCTTGTCTCTGAATTTCTGAGAGTAGGAAAATCAGAAGTCAGGCAGTGCTAGTCGACCCAACATAACATACAGCAGCGTTTCATAATCAGCCCCGCCACAGTTGCTCTCTCCTGGACCGAGGGCCGGAACCTGGGAGTCTGAGAATATAGCTCGCCCTCTAGTATATTCTCAGCTTTCACTAAATCCTATTTCTCAACCAACAAATACAGATGAAGGCTCCATCTTTGAATTTGTCCCGGTGGCAACCCAAATTAAGTCTGAAGTCCCTACCCCAAATGTTTCCAACTGGGAAGATAAAACAGAATCAAGATAAAGGGAGAAAATGCAAGAGATTTTCCTGAATGAGAAATAAAGAAACAGATGTACTGTAGGAGGAAAAGAACACATGTCAGCTTCGACTCCTGAAGTGTTTCTGTAAGCAGTGGGGAGACTCAGGCCAGTGATCACAAATTTAGTACTAAAGGCGTTCTATCCTCTGTGCCTGCTTTCCATAAGGTAGGGCTTGGCTTGGCCAACTCTCACCAAGATGCTGTAGGAATCCATTCTGCATGTTTTCCCCCCGGGTGTAAATCCTTGTGAACGCTGAGGTTTTCT